GGTGTCCACTAAACCCCTGGGCTTCTCCGCGCCTCCCGACCCGGCGCTGCCCCTCCCGTCGGTGCCACCTCGCCCCTGCCCTGCCCCAGGCCGCTGCCGCTCCGCAGCTGGGAGCCCCTGTCGCGCGCCGGGGTCGCGGTGGGTCTGGTTCTGCACCTCGGGGTTGTCCCTGTCACCACCTGGCCGCGTGGCTGGCTCCGGCTGTTCCGGCTCAGAGCGCGGGGACAGGGAACTTGCAGCCTCGTTTACCCTGCGCTCCGGACGCCCGGTGCCGCGCTGCTGGTCCTTGTCCTCGGGGCGGGGACTTCAGTGCTGGGCCAGAGTTTCAAAGCGGGGTCGGGTCTTGTCCCTGGTCGCCTGAGCACGTGTGGGCTTTTCACATCCGGTCCTTCCCGGGTTAAATTCCCTTCTGTTCCCGGCTCGCGGAGGTTTATCGTGGAAGGCGTTTGGATCCTCTCCAGTGCCGTTCTGCCTCCCTGGGGTGCTCTTGCGTTTTGGCCCGCCGTTCTGCTGCACGTTGAGCCAGCTTGCATTCCTGGGACGAACATATAATCCTCAAATGAGCTGCCGAATTCAGTCTGCCTGTATTTTGTTAAGGAATTTTGCATCTAGCTGGGTGTGGTGGCACACATCCATAATCCCAGGGACTAGGGGGGCTGGGGCAGGCGGATCTCAACCTCAAGGCCCACCTCCGCAATTTAGCAAGGCCCTAAGCAACTTAGTGAGATGCTGTCTCAAAAATAAAAAAATGCAAAGGGCTGGGGATGTGGCTCCGTGGATAAGCTCAACTCCCTGCTACAAAAAAGAAGGGAGGGATCTTGCATCAATGTAGAAATGGGCATTGACCAATGATTTCTTTCTTATGGTGAATCCTGGCTTTGGTTCTAGGGTGATGCTGGCTTCACAGAAAGAGCTGAGAAGTGTTTTTTCCTCTCTCTCTCTCTCTCTCTCTCTCTCTCTCTCTCTTTTGAATATTTCTTTAAGAGATTTGGTGTACTTCTCCCGGGAGCCCTCTGGTCCTGCGATTTCCTTTGGAGGTTTTGAGCATTGATTCCATCTCCTCACTTCTTGCGAGTCTGCTCCATTTTCTCTTTGTCCCTGAGTCTGTTTTGGTAGTCTGTGCCTGTCCCTTCCATCTGGCTACCCAATTTGTTGCTTATACTATTCTCTTTTAGTCCTTTTTATTTCTATATAATCGTTGTGATGTCCCCAGTTAATCCGTGACCTCAGGGAAGTTAGTCTCCTCTCATTGTCAAAGTCATTAGAGGCTTAATTATACATGGGAACACCAGTTTATCATTTATAAGGACAGAGAAAACTTCCATGTAGAAGAGACACTGGGGTGGCCTGGCCAGAGTGTGTGTTCTCAGTAGAAGAGTACAGAGAGCCATTCTGTTCCTGCAGGACACAGGGCCGGGAGGACTGGGTGCCTGTGCATCTTGGCCTAACCAAGGTGGGCACACCAAGGGTAAGCGTTTGTGGAATTGATATTTTCAGTGTACTCACTTTTAATTTGTTGATAGTCTCTGTTTTTACATTTGGTATGTCACTGGTCTCCAGACAAATGTTTACTACTCCCTTCTTCCTACTGGCTTCAGGGTTAGTTTGCTCTCTAATTTTTGTAGAACTGAAATGTGGCATCTATTGAAAGATTTGAAGAGATATTATTATTATTATTATTTTACATTTAAGGAGATTTCTCTTGGGTCACTGGCTGACTGCAGAGATAACAGAACAGAAACTTGAGAGACTACACTTAACAAGGAATACAGGCTTTGCAAATGCAATTTGGAAAAATCACTCAACAGCTGGACCTCTAGAGCCTTGAACAAGCAAAAGACGGGGGACCTGATTTTGAGAGTTACATTGTAAAACTCAAGATGCACAATTTTCTTTTCTTTCTCTTTTTTTTGAGGGGGTCTGGGGGTTGAACCCAGGGGTGCTTAACCACTGTGCCAAATCTCTAGACCTTTTGATTTTTTATTTTGAGACAGGGTCTTACTAAGTTGCTTAGGGTCTTGATAATTTGCGATCCTCCTGTCTCAACCTCCTCAGTCACTGGATTCACATCACTGTGCCCCCCAAAATGTCCAGTTTTCCACACAAAATTGAATGACATCCAAAGAAATAGAAAAGTCTGACTTATTTGCAGGAAAAAAGAATTTTACAGAAACCATTCCTCAAGATGAGCAGACATTGAAATTGCTAATAAAAATGGCAAGTTGACTGTCTGGTATGTATTTAATGAGCTAAAAGGAGGGCGTGGACAGAGGGAATCAGGACAGCAGGGTGTAAACAAAGAGATGGGCCAACAAAGGTCTATAAATCACGACAAGGAGCCAATAAAAACCCACGGCTGAGGAAGTGTCCCTGAGGGTCACCCCCAGACCTGAGCCTGGGCAGGAAGGTCAGTGAACCCGAAGGCCAGGCCGCTGGGCAGAAAGAAAAGATGAATGAAGAAAGACGGCATGACGGTGGGACGACATCCAGCAGCCTGCACCACACCGTGGGAGTCTGGAGAAAAGGGCAGAAAGGTGTTTGAAGAAATGGTACCACCAATTTCCCAAACTCGATGAGGTGCACGGATGTGTGGTCAAGACCCTCAGTGAAGTCCAGGGGGGGCTGGGCTGGGACTCAGAGGTGGAGCGCCTGCCTGGCACTTGGGGGCACGGGGGGGGGGGTCAAGTCTCAGCACCACATATAAGTCAATAAACGAAATAAAGGTGTTGTGTTCATCTACGACTAAAAAATATTTAAAACCCAAAAAAAATACAAGAGAGAGAAAAAAAACTCCAGGTAGGATAAACTCAAAGGGATTCATCTCAAAAAAATGTTGTCAAATTGTCAAGGAAAAAGAAAAAAGCAGCAGGAGAAAAGCAACTGTCACATACAAGGGACCCTCCGTGACACTCTGAGCAGATTTCTCATCTGGAGGCTGGAGGCTGGAGGTGGTGCTGTGTTTAAAATCCCGAAAGAAACCCTGTCGCCTCAGAATTCTAGTTCAGAAAAACTGTCCTTCAAAAGGAAGAAGAAATCAAGATATTTCCAGATAAATGGAAGCTCAGAAGCTCCCACTGCAGACGTGCCCCAGGAGGGGAGTGGAGGCACTAGGAAGTAGCTCCACATTACATCAAGAAATAAAGAAGAGGCGTCAAACTAACTGCGTGGGAAGACATAGAAGATCACAGCTGTGGTCAGGAGCTTCTTTCCCTCTATGTGACATAATAGGCACATTTATAAAGCAAGAATCATAAATCTGTTAACAGGCACGGAGCACAGAAAGATACATCTGTGTCGGTGATACTGGGGGAGGGATGGAGCCACGCCAGAGCCGTGTTTGCGCACCACTGAAATCAAGCTGGCATTACTTCACACTGATGGTTAGAAGTTCAAGGTTTTGATTGCGATTCCCAAGGTGACCACTGATTTAAAAATGGAAGAGTAGGCTGGGTGTGGCAGCTTGGGAGGCTGAGGCAGGAGGATTGTGAGTTCAAAGCCAGCTTCAGCAATTTAGCCAGGCCCTAAGCAACTCCACAAGACCCTGTAGCTAAAGAAAATATTTAAAAGGGCTGGGGATGTGGCTCAGTGGTTAAGGGCCCCTGGGTTCAATCCCTGGTACCCCCCCCAAAAAAAATGTAAAAATGGAAAAGTATACAGAAAAGGAAAAAAGAAGGGCTTAACATTTTTATATTATAAAAAATAAATACCCAAAAAGGCAGTAATGGAGAAATTAAGGGGAACATTTTTAAAACATGTAGACTCAAGGAACGACTGAATGGCAGAAGTTAGTCCTTACCTACCAGTAACTACTTTAAATTACCCTCCAATTAAAAGTCAGGGGTAAGGCCGGGCACACGGGTACACGCCTGTAAAAAAACCAGACTCAGTAATACTAAGTGAGGCGCTAAGCAACTCGGTGAGACCCTGTCTCTAAGTAAAATGCAAAATAGGGTCAGGGATGGGGCTCAGTGGCAAATGTCCTGAGTTCAGTCTGCAGTAAAGAAAAGAAAACCCACAGAGAGGCTGAAGGTAAAGGATGGAACAAGACACATTGGTGGTGACGAGTGGGGGGGCACGCTAGTGTCAGACACCTGGGCCTTGGGTCGCTGCCTTGGAGAAGGCTCTGTGCAGTGCTGTGCCGCTGGCTGGGGTGGACCAGGCCCCTGTGCCTCTGGTGCAGCTCATGACCTTCATCCCCCCGGCCCCGACTCCTTTCTGCTCATCTGGAGAGGACTCCCTGTGTGGAAGGAGACTTGATTTGATTTGTCTGGGCTTTGGAGTTTCTGTCTTTTGCGGAGCCAGGTTGAGCCCTGGTGGCCACCGCTGAGCGGCTCCTCCAGCCCTGGGACAGCTGACTTGATTGTCTGTCAATCCTGGGGGAGGGATGGGGCCACCATAAAGGTGTGCTCTGCCTCCCTCATCTTCACGTCCGTCCGTGAGCTCCACCCCATGAGACCCGTCCCAACCCTGCCCAGGACTGTGCCTCCCCTCGACCCTACTCTGCTTCTTCTGAATGGCCCTTCCTGTGTCCTCCCTACTTCAATAATTTTAAAGTCTGTGCCTCGCTCCCTTCCCCTGGTCACCAAGGGAGTGCCTCCAACTTGCCTAGACCAGCTCCTGACTGTCCCCAGCGGTTCTGCCATGTCCCTCCTCCTCTGCTGACCCAGGCCAAGACACTGTTCTTCCGCAGCCCTGCCTCCCACACAGCTGCCCACCTGCCTGCCAGGCCCTCCCCAGGCCTCCTTGGCTCCATTGGACCCACTGCCCAGGCCCCACCTCTGCAGCCATTCAGGCCTCTGCCGCTCCCAGGGACCACCTGGTTTGGGTGCCACCGTCCCCGCTCCCCAGTGGCTCTCTTGCCACGCTGGCGTTGGCCCCCAGCTCTTGCTCTCTCTGGCTTGCTTCCTGTGTCCCTGTGCAGAGGTCATTTCTGGGTGGAGCGACCCAGGCCCGGACTGCCTGAGCCTGCCCTGGTGTTAGTGTCCTGACCCCAGGACCCTTGGCCCTGGGCAGACCCAGACTTGGTCCCCCAACTGCAGAGACTGAGAATCTTCCTCGATAACATTTTTTTCTGTGCTGGTCATTGCCTAGAGGCCCAGTGGGTGTGTGACACAGGCTTGATGGGTGAGTGGACGAGGCACAGACCTCTGAGGACTCTCCCCAGTCAAACTGTGGGCCTGGGAGGACCCTGCTGTCCTCCTCGGCGTGGGGGAACTTGCTGCTTCTCCAGGGGCACCCCTCGGCAGCCGGCCCCATTCCTCAGCATTTCCCGGCTGCGCAGGTGTGGTCCCTAGTGGGGTGGGGTTTCTGTGGGGAGGGCACTGTCTGGCATGGCAGTGGACCAGGTGGCTGTGGGTCCTGGTGTCTCCGAACCCTGGGGAGTGGGTGTCAAATCCAGCCCAGAGCCAGGGAGTGCTACTGCCACCTGGTGGCAGCACACACACCCTCCAGGAGCGCCTCCCTTGTCTCAGCAAGATGGCAGGGCAGCGGGGGCCTCGTCTTTCCCACCCGTGGGTCATGCAGGGCAATGGTGAA